AGCTGCTGTAGTACCTCTAGCATGCACTATGTATCAGAAGAGTCCCTACCCCTTGAGTTAAGTGCTATACACCCATGTGCACACACAAGCACAGGATGTGTACCAGGTATGGTAAGAAATGTATGTCTGCTTTCATTCATCCCAGTCTCTACCTAGCACTCCCCAACCTCACTCACTGCCGTATCTGCTTGATCCCTGTATTTGAGCTTTCAGTTTAACAGTAGAACTTATAAAACAACATAGAAAAAGCTCTGGAAACACAATCTAAGGACTGGCTGTGGGAGGTGGGATTATCAGTGACTTTATTTTATTGACTGATCGATTGATTGAGATGGAGTCTTGCTCTGTCGCCCAGGCTGGAGTGCAGTGGTGCCATGTCAAGCTCACTGCAACCTCCACCTTCCGGGTTCAAGTGATTCTCCTGCCTCAGTGTCGTATACAGTTGGGACTAAAGGTGTGTGCCACCACACCTGGCCAATTTTTTGTATTTTTAGTAGAGATGGGGTTTCGCCATGTTGGCCAGGCTGGTCTCAAACTCCTGACCTCAAGTGATCCGCCCACCTTGGCCTCCCAAAGTGCTGGAATTACAGGCATGAGCCACTGCACCCGGCCATCAGTGACTTTAAATTCTGTAATTAAGAACTATTTTACGAGAAAAACATATTGATTTCATAATTATTTTAAAAAGGGAGTTTATGAAACCTTTCCTTTTTTTTTTTTTTTTTTTTTTGAGACAGAGTTTTACTCTGTTGCCCAGGCTGGAGTACAGTGGTGCAATCTCAGCTCACTGCAAGCTCTGCCTCCCGGATTCAAGCAATTCTCCTGCCTCAGCCTCCCGAGTAGCTGGGATTACAGGCGCATGCCACCATGCCTAGCTAATTTTCTGTATTTTTAGTAGAGATGGGGTTTAGCAGAGATGTGTTAGCCAGGATGGTCTTGATCTCCTGACCTCAAGTGATCCGCCCCGCCTCGGCCTCCCAAAGTGCTGAGATTGCAAGTGTGAGCCACCGCACCCAGACCCTCTTTCCTTTCTTAAATGGTAACCCGCAGTGTAGCTACGAGACCAAAGGACCATTAGCCCAGAGGGTGGTGAATGTCAGGCCCCCCGACTCTGACTGTAATAGATATTAATAACTTACATTGAGATCATGCAAGCAAATACCACTGAAGGTAACCATTCTGGCCAGGAGGTCTACATAAAGGGGGAACTACAAAAATCACTGAAAATATTAACCACTTAGGTCATCTAGCTAGCAAGATTATAGGACACTGTGAGTTAAAGGCTTCTGGCTGAGCAAAGTGCTCCTTAGAAAGCTAAATATACAGTTCTAAGGATTACAGGCACACAGCTCTGAGTTCTCCAATCTTCTAAACAAAAACAAGATTTCTACACTGTTGTAAAAGTTTTACGTAATAACATTTCAATTTGTAGTTTTATGTTGCTGGTTACAAAACTTTCACTGGTGAGGCTACTTCTATTATTTTCTATTCTATGACACTGCAATTTTTTTACACGATTTTGGATGAACTACTGCCTTATCTCAATTATATTATCCTGACTGTGGAAGCATTTAAATACGAATTTCCCGTCTCCCTCTACTAAATACTATTATCACTGCTAACAGCAGAGGGCAGTAGGATGCAGAGAAAGGAAACCAGTCTGGATACAGAATCTGGCTGGGGGGACTTTCACACCTCCCTTACACTCCGCATGGCTCTCAATTTGCCTTCCGTAAAATGGGGAGACTGACTCAGTTTCTTCCAATCCTCTTAGTCTGTAATAGTGGTTGGCAAACTACAGCTCAAGGGTGAAACTGGGCATACCACCTGTTCCTGCCTGGCCTGCAAGCGAAGAAAGGTATTTTAACATTTTTTTAATGGTTGGGGGGGAAAAGAATTAATAGCTCATGAAACATGCAACTTATATGAAATTTAAATTCCAGTGTCTGGTCACCTTGGGAGACCGAGGCGGGCAGATTACCTGAGGTCAGGAATTTGAGACCAGCCTGGCCAACATGGTGAAACCCTGTCTCTACTAAAAATACAAAGAACAGCTGGACATGGTAGCACACGTCTGTAATTCCAGCTACTCGGGAGGCTGAGGTGGAAGGATTACTTGAACCCAGGAGATGGAGGCTGCAGTGAGCCGAGATCATGGTACTGCACTTCAGCCTGAGCAACAGAGCAAGACTTCATCTCAAAAAATACGAAAATTTAAATAAATAAATAAATTCCAGTATCCATTAAAAAAGTTTTAATGGAACTCAGCCACACACTGTCTATGGCTGCTCTATTTTCTTCTATCTAGCTAGCTATCTGTTTATTGAGCTGGGGTCTCACTCTATTGTCCAGGCTGGAGTGCAGTGGCACAATCATAGGTCATTGTGGCCTCAAGCTCCTAGGCTCAACTGATCCTCCCAGCTCAGCCTCCTCAGTAGCTGGGACTACAGCAGCTTGTGACTACTTTAGTGCAACAATGACTGAATAGTTGCAGAGTTGGAAAAAAGACCCAAAAAGCCTAAAATACATACTATCTGGCCCCTGACAGAAAAGGGGGCAATTTGTAGGAGTAAAATAATTTTCAGTATCACTGTCTCTTCCTACACTACACATTGGCTAATTCATGATTACTAAAATGACCTAAGCACATACCAGCAAGGAGATTATATTTTAGGAAAGGGACTTTAAAGTCTACTCAAATGGGGGATTCCACTAACTTCTCACCTAAAAAGCCACTCAAATAAAGAGGTATTTTTCCAGGAAGTCTGATGTCATTATCTTTCTCCTTTTGTACCTCCCAAGCGAAGAGAAAAGCTAAATTAAACACATTATCCCTGTTCTTATATTCCTATAAAACTGAATTTTTTGAAATGTGGTGCAGGAGAACCAATGGTCGTATATATGCCACATTTCATTTTACTAGTTATGTATTAATTTCACATACATTAGGAAAAACCACAACAAGCAATTTAAACACATGAGCCTATACATTGTGTTTAGCTTAGGACAAAGCTGCATTACAATTTTAATATTTAAGTATGTAATAAAATATGGCAGAAAACCATGGCAATGAAAGTTTAGGCAACACTAATTCACAAAGTCGCTGCCAAGGTTAAAATTTAAAACATTTCCTGAAAGGCATGCTCTTTATGGGAACTAATGTGCCCAAGGGTTTGTGTAATTAACTACCATGTTTTGTGAACTTGGCTTAAATGGAACCGTGTCATGGAACAAAGTAAGCTTTTAAGGACTCTGTTCAGAAACAAGGGGGTAAAAATGAAGACTTTTCTGAAACTGTGTCAACACAAATTATGTCAATTCCAAAACAAAACTCTACGACTCAACCATGAGTATCTAGGACCACACGGCTATGAATCAGAACGAGAGAAAGACAGACTGCAGCCTTTATTTTACAGAACCAAAAGCCACAGGCTCTCTCTACCCCTCCTACTACCATCTGGGGAGCAGCTAGAAGCAGTTCTTGAAAATAAACCAAGGAAAAGAAAAAAGAAAAAAAAGTCCCAAGAAACAACACAAGCAAAGTCAGAAGAATTATTTGAGTTCACAACTGACTAAGTCCTTATTATTTTAACTTTTGGGGACATTCATGGTATCTTGAAGAACTGATGTTTGCTCCTTAAAGAATTCCTGTGTGAAGGAAGGTAGGGAGAAAGGGAGGGAGAGAGAGAGACTAAGGAAGGAAGTGAGTGTGAAAGGCTGTCCAAGGTTAAGTCTTTGGCCAGAAGCCTAAACCTGGTACTCCAACCTGCTTTATTCATTCTAGAAAATCTTCTAAGACATTTTGCCTGACATTTAATAATTGGAGATTCTACTTAAAAACCTGACATTTAAGAATTAGAGGTTTTACTTAAAAACTCAGACTTTGGGCCAAGCATAGTGGCTCACACCTGTAATCCCAGCACTTTGGAAGCCCAAGGCGGGTGGATTACTCGAAGTCAAGAGTTCGAGACCAGCCAGGCCAACATGGTGAAACCCCATCTCCACTAAAAATACAAAAATTAGCTGGACTCAATGGTGCGCACCTGTAATCCCAGCTACTCGGGAGGCTGAGGAACAACAATCACTTGAACCCAGGAGGTAGAGGTTGCAGTGACCTGACATGGTGCCACTGCACTCCAGTCTGGGTAACAGAGTGAGACTATATCTCAAAAAAAAAAACCAACAAAACAATGACACAACTACTAAAGGATATGACCTTTAAGGGAATGGGATCACGCTAGGAAGACAGAGCACTATTATTTTTTTACCTTTTTTTGTTTGTTTGTTTTTTGAGACAGGGTCTCACAAGGGGTCACACTTCACCTTCAGGCTGGAATATAGTAGCGCAATCATGGCTCACTGCAGCCTCAACCTCCCGGGCTCAGGCAATCCTCCCACCTCAACTATAGTCCCAGAGTAGCTAGGACTACAGACACACGCCACCACGACCAGCTAATTTTTGTATTTTTGGTACAGACAAGGTTTTTGCCATGTTGCCCATGTTGTTGCATGGTCTGGAACTCCCGAGCTAAAGCAATCTGACTGCCTCGCCCTCCCAAAGTGCTGGGACTACAAGGCATGAGTCACAGCGCCTGGTCAAGTATTATTTTTTATAATATGTGTTTCTCTCACATTTGTGCCATTTAGTGTGACTGTAGGGTTTTGATAGAAAAATGCAATTTCAACTAAAAATTATTTGTGTTATGGAAAGTCAATAATCCAAAATGCAGTGACATTTGAACAGAACGCCAAAAGATTTCTGGCCATCTCCATCTACTTCTAGGTATAACCTCCAGGTGGCCTTTTGGAGACACTTTTCTCATTTCTGGGTCCCTAGCAGGAAGAATTCCATCTGGTGACTTCTTGAAAATCTGCTCTGTGGTCCCCTACAGTTCCCCACGATTGCTCGATGCTCACCTGCTTGGGCCCACCAGGTGTGTACCCATGGGAAACCCCCGTGTCCGAGGGGCCTCCTCCCCACTTCCCCGCACGGAGCTGACCTGTGCTCTTATCCAGGAAGTCCATGGACTCCTCACTCGCGCTGAAGTGGCTGGATGTGGCCTTCTTCTCGGCATCCTGCTCCACATCAGAGCCTGTGTGCACGGAAGAGTTTGTGCTCATGGGGGAGCGCGGCATATCCGACAAGGAAATCCGGCGGCCTGTGCCCCCACTCAGCACGGGCTTGCTCATCAGGATCTTGGGGGACGCCGTCATGTCAAAGTTGAGCTTGACCTTCTCCTGCTTGTCTATCTTGGCAGTGCCGGCACTGGGGTTGGTGGGATCGAGCAGCATTTGGTACTGGCTGTTGGGTGTGTAGGGTGTCCTGAATGGAGAGTAATTAAAAACCCCAAACTTCCTGCGGATGTTCTCCACGTAAACCTCCATCTCTTGCATGGCACTGTTGAAGATGCTCTTAGTCTTTTTCACAGAAAAAGGAATTTCTTTAGACATGAGGTAGCAATTATTTATTGGAACCCAGGCCCTAGGAGGGCAAAAGATAGAGAGAGTTTAAGTCAGCTTCAGTAATTTCAAAGATTGCTTTTTTCTTGATGTGAACCAAATTATCCAAGCATGTTTGCCAAGATTCTTATTCTATTTAAAAAAAAAAAAAAAAAAAACTTGGTTTGAAGAATTAATTACTGATCCATTTAACAAGCAAGTTCTACCATAACAGAACATGAACAACAAAACTTCAGCTAAAACATTTAAAGGTGCAATACACTTAGTCATTGTGAGCCATTAAAGAAACAATCCTCTTTGGTTTTCTCTTGGTAGAGAAAAATAAATCAGCCACTGCATCCGACAACACTTCTGAAAAGAGACTTTTTCCTCAGGTCACACTCAGACATAAAGAGTATCCTTTTCCCACTGCCATTCTAAATAGGACCAGAAGGAAACTTTGGAATACTGCGTTCCTAAAAGAAGGCACATGTTTCTGAATGTGAGATAATTCACATAGAAAATCACTGAAAAAGGAGCCCATTAGCCTCCAGGCGTATACTTTCCATCCCCCATCCCAGGCCAGTTCCATCTTCCTAACGTCCATACCCCACTGGCCTCAACACAGTTCCTGGCTGGGAAAACTGGTGAGAATAAGCTTTCCAAGGAGGGCTTTCGTGGGGGATTTTTTTGGTAAGCTTTCCAAGGAGGGCTTTCGTGGGGGATTTTTTTTTGGTTTAATATTTATTTATTTATTTATTTATTTGAGAATAAGCTTTCCAAGGAGGGCTTTCGTGGGGGATTTTTTTGGTTTACTATTTATTTATTTATTTATTTATTTATTTATTTATTTATTTGAGACGGAGACCCGCTCTGTCGCCCAGGCTGGAGTGCAGTGGCACTATCTCAGCTCACCACAACCTCCGCCTCCTGGGGTTCAAGCAATTCTCCTGCCTCAGCTTCCCAAGTAGCTGGAACTACAGGTGTGTGCCACCATGCCCAGCTAATTTTTGTATTTTTAGTAGAGATGGTGTTTCACTATATGTTAGCCAGGCTGGTCTTGAACTCCTGACCTCGTGATCCACCCACCTCAGCCTCCCAAAGTGCTGGGATTACAGGTGTGAGCCACCGCGCCTGGCCTTTTTGGCTTGTTTTTTTTAAGAGACTAGGTTTCCCTCTGTCACCCAAGCTGGAAAGCAGAAGCATGATCAAGGCTCACTACAGCCTCCAACTCCTGGACTCAAGGAATCCTCCCAGATCAGCCTCTCAAGTAGCTTGGGGTACAGGCACACACCACAACACACTCAGATCATTTTTAATTTTTATATACTTTTGTAGAGATGGGGTCTCGCTACATTACCCAGGATGGTCTTGAACTCAAGCAATCCTCCCACCTTGGCCCCCCCAAGAGCTGGGATCATAGGTGTGAGCCACCGCACCCAACCTCCAAGGTGGCCTTTTAGATTTCACAGACCACGAACTCCAGCCCGGTAGAAAGCAGTAGGGAACAAAGGGGACTTTGCAGAAGTAGAAAACTCACGTCTGGTGGAAAGGGAGAAAGTGGTATCTACTCAGCTGCTGTCCAAAGCAACCATGTAGGAATGTGGACCCAACACTGTCACATCCTCCAACATTTTAAAGAGAAGAAGGAAAAATAGACTTCTTATGTTACATTTTACCCCCATTTCAACAGTTGGCATCTAAGAGAAAACAACCCAGGAGAGATAAAGCATATCCCTGGGACAGAATTCAGAATACAGGCGGATTGTTTGCAAGGTTTCGTGATACCAGATCACAACACAAACTAAAACTAAACACCCCAAAAATATCGATCTGCTCCATCAGAATGCTGGAAATCACCAGCTTCTCATCCATTCTGACTGCTGTCTTTCTGCTGAAACCTGAAAAACCAGCAAGAGGGGCAGAGCAGAACAGAAGCCAGATGCCCTCAAGGTAAGAGTTTGCCTCATGGTGAGATTCTGCGTTCAAAGTGAGCGGGCACAGATCAGGACTACTAGACAGGACAGATCTGAGAAGGCATCAGGGTCTCCAGGGCTGTCCCAGGGCAAATGACTCCCCCTTCCTGAGCTAGTCTCAGCTCTGTCACTGAGAAAAAGGAGAGTGAGTCCTTAACCGGAGAATCAAGAGGCGGGGCCACCAGGAGCTTATCACCAGATGGTCCTGGTATCATAACCTCGAACACCCGACCTGCTCCACACCCACCTCACCCACACACTTCTGCCCACTATCCAAGGCCCTCACTGTTCCCTCCCTGCAAGTATTTTCCATGAAATTGCTTGGCAGGGAAGAAAAAAAGAGTCTCTTTTCTTTAAAACAAGCCCAGGGCTGGGCATGGTGGCTCACACCTGTAATCCCAGCACTTTGGGAAGCAGAGGTGGAAGTCAGGAGTTCAAGACCAGCCTGGCCAACACAGTGAAACCCCGTCTCTACTAAAAATGGAAAAATTAGCCGGATGTGTTGGCACGCCCCTGTAATCCCAACTACTTTGGAGGCTGAGCTGGAAGAATTGCTTGAACAAGTCACTGCACTCCATGCTGGGCGACAAAGCGAGCCCCCACCTCAAATAAATAAATAAATAAATAAATAAATAAATAAATAAATAAATAAAACAAGCCTGGTGACAGAGCAAGACCCCCTTCTCAAATAAATAAATAAATAAAAACAAGACCAGGAAGTATTTCAAGGGAAATTAGATTTGCTTGACAAAATAAGAGTCTCTGCAAGGGACAATATCCAGCTTCACATTATCTCAGTTCTAACCCCATGATGGCTTCTCCCTAGCTATGTGACCCTAGGCACTCTCTGACCTTAAGTTTTCTCATTGATAAAATAGACATAAAAGCAGCTTCCACAAAAAAAGCTCTTAAAACACTGCTCAGTACATAGTAGGCAATTGGTTGGTGTCTACTTTTTTTTTTTTTTTTTACTCTGCATTTAATAAAATATTTCCTATATTTTTAGATAACTGTGCACCTATAATACAAAACTAGGCCAGGCACAGTGGCTTACGCCTGTAATCCCAGCACTCTGGGAGGCCAAGGCAGAATGGATTGGTTGAATCCAGGAGTTCAAGACCAGCCTGGGCAACATGGCGACCCTGTCTCTACTGAAAACACAAAAAATTAGCCGGGCATAGTGGCACATGCCTGTAGACCCAGCTATGTGGGAGGCTGAGGCAGGAGAATGGCTTGAACGCAGGAGGGGGAGGCTGCAGTGAGCCGAGATCTTGCCACTGCACACACCAGCCTAGGTGACAAACCAAGACTCTGTTCCAAAAAAAAAAAGAATGGTGGTCAGAGACTCCCTGCCCAAAGCCTACTAAAACATCCCAAGACCTCCAAAGTTGTTTCTCTACCACTGTGGAAGGTCCTGAACAACTCCCTACAAGGGATCCCCTCACCCAAAACAAGCCGAACAATGCGGTGTACTCCCTTAAAGCAGGTGCTAAGAGGGGCTAGGAAACTGGTGACCATCAGACCCATGCTGCTTTCTTTTTCACAAACAGAAGGGGGCCAGCTTCCACGACAGCTCTCATCCAGAACCAAGACCTAAACACACAAAAGCTTTTGGGAAACAGCTTCTGCACACAGAGCTGACCAACTCACACACCGTTCTTCATGCTCTGTAAGCCACCTTCAGTGGCTGTCTCACGGGGGAGAGAGAGAGGTCCCTGCAGAGCAGTCACAGCTGAGAGACTAGAGCCATCAACCCTAAGAGTCTGGGAATACTGGGTACAAGGGGGTAGGTATTATTTTCTCCCATCCTGCCTGTGTCCTAAGTATACCTACTCATACTGTATCAACCTATAGAGTAAGAATCCCACATCATCAAGATGGTTCACATTTGTTATGCTCTGATGAAGAGGAGGGATGTACAGCCTGTCACCAATTCCTCCTGCTCTTCAAATAAAAAAGAAACTCCTGCCTAGCCCTCTAATTGCAGCTCCAAGCATCCTCTCCTCCCCTGACCCTGTTTAAATCCCACTATCCTCCCAGCATTTCCTGAACCCTCTCAGCCTCAGCCCTTCCCCTCCCAAGCCTCTGTTCTTCCTGGTCCCTCATCCCAGATCTTCGTACCAGGCCCCCACCACTACCTCCTGATCTGAGATTATCTTGCCTATTAGTTCACTTGTATATCACCCTTCTTCCCCGCTAGGATGTCAGCCTTCACATGGGCAGCAACATGGAATCACCAGCCTCCACTACACAGCCTGGCATGCAGCAGGCATCCAATATGTATTTCTTTGAATGAAGGAATAAAGGAATTAAAGTCAAGGTGCAATACTTCCTACCAAATCCAGCACCATCTCAGTAATTTCCATTTTGTCTTCTGACAGTAGACTGTTGGGATTCCTAGTACATGAGTTTGCTTTGGGAATTCACTCTTTTGGTCTGCAAGACGACTAGCAAAATGTAGCAGGGGAAACAAATTTCAGCTTCTGGACTCTCTGTGTGTGTACGTAATTTGTAGTATATGTATCTTAAGTAGTCTCCCCTACACACTAACACGCTTTCTCAAACCAATCGGTACGGCTTCAAAAGGGTCTTTGCCTTACTTAATCATAACTTGATAAAAAAGAACTAAGATATTAACCACTGCTCATCTCTGCCTACCTGTTGTTCTCAAGCATGCAGCGGGCTCTGCTCTACAGGGAACTGCTATTAGCTGGAATAATTCACTCTGCCACGTGCCGAGGGGAAGGGGAGGGCAGGAAGGCTGGGAGGGAGGGCTCACACCTGTCAAAACAGCAACCCCTTATAATTTCCCACTGTAGCTTCAGAGAAAAGGGAACAGGAGAGAACTACTCAGCATGACGATAAGAGATTCATTTACTGGCAATCTAGGAAACTACTTCTAATCTTTGAAAAAATGATTTGGAAAGCAGTTTCCATGGAGGTTTAATTTACTTCAGAAACCCCTCCCAAAAACCAAAACAAAACAAAAAAGAAGAGCAGCACTTCAAACAGCCACAGAACCCATTCCAATTTTGGTTTCATCAACAGACCCAGTAAAGTAAGATGACTTTCTAACACACCTGAGAAAACTCGCCCACACCATTACCAAGCTTAACATACCACAGGAAATTTATTTCAACAACAAGATCAATGGTTGGTATCATGACAATAATCAGAATAATAGCTACAGCCTCTTTTCTTATCTAATAACAGTATCAAAGTTCAGTGAAAGCTACATGTTCCAAGCCTGTTATTAACTCCCACCTGTCATGTTGTCCAAAGAATCGGGCATCGACCTGCCCATCTTTATCCCTCAGAGCTTTTGCAGGCCAGAATGGAAACCCCTTCAGTTTGGCCCAGACCAAAGGATGTGGATTGCTCTAGGAAAAGAAAAACAAGATCCAGAGTTTGTACATATCTGACAGCAAGATACCCACCAAAGTTTGGTATGTGAGGATGAAGCAGGATTGTGGGACATAGGCCATGAGTGGAAAGAGTTTCGAGCAGGGTCGGCCCGTGTGGTATTCCCTAAAAGGTGTGTGGCCAAGACACCTGGACAAAACTGCAAACGGAGTTAAATGGTGAAATCAAAAGCTGAATGAAGTCCAGGCACGGTGGCTCACGCCTGTAATCCCAGCCCTCTGGAAGGCCAAGGCGGTGGATCACTGAGGTCAGGAGTTCGAGACCAGCCTGGCCAACATGGTGAAATCCCATCTCTACTAAAAACAGAAACATTAGCCGGACGTGGTAGCACTGTTAGTTCCAGTTACTCAAGAGGCTGAGGCAGGAGAATCACTTGAACCCAGGAGGCGGAGGTTGCAGTAAGCCAAGATCACGCCACTGCACTCCAGCCAGGGCAACAGATCGAGACTCCACTTCAAAAAAAAAAAAAAAAAAAAAAGAACGATGACTAAACCAGGGTTGGATCCTAGCTGTACCATTATTACCTGGGCAGGCACGAACAAGACATTTCACCTTTCTGTGCAACATACACACAGAGACAATGATGCCAGTACCTTCTGTTACATTTGGATTAAATGTGCATCATACCTAGCGTCTGATAAGGGGCAGTATTTTGCTACCTTTATTCTTTATTGAAGGCTATGCAGAGCCTTCGCTATTCCCATGTTAATCTCCAAAGACACGAAGAGATGCAAAGTGTATTTTCTCAACTTTCCTTGCCTAATCTTGCCTCCGAACCCACACCAACCCGCCACCCCCACTAACACAGACACCAGTGCATCCCAACAATGTACTTCTCTCTGCAGTACCCTAGTCTGGAAAAGGCAGATACATGGGGAAACTAGGGTGACTTTATTTCCCCAAGGAACCATGTTTTGGAGGAACTATGGAGTTAATCCAGGGAAGTATTTTCAAACCTCTTAAAATAGAACCAACATGATTTGTAAATCACACACTGATTTAAGCTCATCTTATTATCTGAACAGCTTTGCTGCATCCCACATCTCTGATGAGCTCCCTTTTATGCTGCATCTTGCAGTCTGCCCAGGCTAATCAACCCAGGAAACCATGATGCTATCTCTGGCACATGAACTTTCAGCCTAAGAGGTTTATCCTACCTGGATTGCTTTCCCTCTGCCATAACTTTATCAGCAAAAAATTATCTTAAAACTCCATCCAAAGTTTCATCTAATAAGCCACCTGGAAAAAGTAGTCATCCAAGGCACAGGGTTCCGTAAATGAAACAAGCAAAGTAAATCCAACTTACACAAGGCTCACAAAACCAGTTATCTCGTTTTTGGCAAGCAGCTAGATAACATTCTGGACATACTTCGATTTCATTCATCTGTAAAGCAAAAATACATTAGAATGTGTCACCCCAGAGGTGGATATCTTGTGGACCTCAATCAATGCTTGATGATTTTGAAGGTTAAGATGTTTTAACGTTCCACAGAGGGAACACCTTGGAGATGAATCCAACCACTATGCATCACTCCCAGTGCTTCCACCCACTCCAAGCCATAGTCCTTTCTCTCTGGACCAGTGCAACAGCTAACTCCCCATGTCACCTGCTTCCACTTTTACCCCCATTATAGACATTCTCTGCAGAGCAGCCACAGCCATCTTTTTTTCTTTCCTCCTGAGTTTCACTCTGTTGCCCAGGCTGGAGTGCAGTGGCCCAATCTGGGCACACTGCAACTTTCGCCTCCCGGGTCCAAGTGATTCTCATGCCTCAGCCTCCCAAGTAGCAGAGATTACAGGTGTACACCACCACGCCCAGCTAATTTTTGTATTTTTTAGTAGAGACAGGGTTTCACTATGTTGGCCAGGCTAGTCTCAAACGCCTGGCCTCAAATGATCCACCCACCTCAGCCTCCCAAAATGCTGGGATTACAGGTGTGAGCCACCGGGCCCAACCCAGAGCCACCTTTTATAGACTAAAACTGATCTTGTCCTTCCCCTGCTTAAAAGCCCCCAGTGACTTCCCATTATACCCAGTAGTTCTCTGTCAGAGCACTTGAACCATTCCCCCCACCCACAGGGATCACACAGCAATATCTGGAGACATTTTTGATTGTCACAAGTGGGCCAAAGGAGGGAGGGGGGACTACTGGAATCTAAGAGGTACACGATAGTCCCTGCAACTAAGAATTCTCCAGCCCTAAGTGTCAGCAGTACCAAGCTGAGAAACTAACAGTGAAGTCTAATGACCTGACAGGTTCCTTCAAAGCCACATGTGATCGGGCCTTAGCCCACCTGTCTGGGCTCACCTTGCAGCAGCTCCGTTCCCCAACCCCTTCCAGCCACTGTGGCCTGCTCTGCTTGCCAAGCTCAATTCTATGTCCACAGTAGCTAATTAGTACCACGTTGCCCTATTTCATCTTCACTGACAACAATCTGAATATTCAATTAACTTATTGTCCTTTTCTCTCATAAGAAAGTACATTCCCCTAGAGTAACATTGTGGCTTAGAGCCAAAGACCCCAGAAGCTCCCTTCTTGGATCTCAAGTCAGACTCCACCATTTACTAGCTCTGTAACTTTAGGGCAAGCTGCTTCTCTTCTCGGAGCCCCAACTTGTTGATGTATTGAAGAGAAAAAAAAAGTAGCACCCACCACAAAGGGCTGTTATAAGAAATTAAATGAGATAAACGTAAAGTGCTTCAAGTGACAGAGTAATCAATTTCGCCCATTAACATTTATTGAAGACTTAGAGTGTGCTGGTAGCATTCTAAGAATTCTGTAAGTATTAACTCATTTATCCCATACACCCCATGAGATAAAAAAAAAAAATGAGGCCCCAAAAAGTTAAGTAACCTGACCAAGGTCTTACAGCAACAAAGTGGCACGGTCAAGATTTGAACCCAGGCAGTCGGGGCTCCAAAATCCATGCAGGTCACCACTGCACTGATATTTGTTATTCCTTTCTACCATTACAGCCTTATTCTTCTCTTTAACTCTTATCATCATGCAAGGTGCCATATATGTAATAGGTGCTCAATAATTATAAGACTAACAGACTTCACAGGTCAGTGAATAAGTAAGTGAATGAATGCGCGAACAAATGCATGGATGGTAAAGTACACCTCCTGCTTCTAGCCTACTTTACTTCTGGGCTGTTCCAAAGGAACATATCCAAAATAGCCCGTATGACTTGTCGTCAAGGAAATGAAAACTAAAATCACAGTAAGATGCCTACTATTTTTGTTTGTTTTCTGTTTTGTTTTTTTTTTTGGTTTTTTTTTGTTTTGTTTTGTTTTGGTTTTTTTTTGGAGATAGAGTCTCACTCTGTCGCCGAGGCTGGAGTGCAGTGGCACGATCTCAGCTCACTGCAACCTCCACCTCCCAGGTTCATGCCATTCTCCTGCCTCAGCCTCCCAAGTAGCTGGGACTACAGGCACCCGCTACCACGCCTGGCTAATTTTTTGTATTTTTAGTAGAGATGGGGTTTCACCGTGTTAGCCAGGATGGTCTCAATCTCCTGACCTCGTGATCTGCTCACCTCGGCCTCCCAAAGTGCTGGGATTACAGGTATGAGCCACCACACCCAGCCAGATGCCTACTGTTTTTACAAATTACATCGTTGGGGCAAGGGGGCACATATATACATACAGTTTTGTAATTACAACTCCCAATATTGGAAAGGACATACCCTCATTGTAATTGGAACATCTGACATGTTCACAGCCTCATAGTAATTTTATTTCTAAAAATTAAACTAAGGAAATCATCAAACGCACAATGATATTCATCACCTTGTTACTTAAAATGCTGATAAAACTGGGTACTACTTAATGACAAGAAGAGTAATTAAATGAATGTCCATGAGTTGTACGTAATACTACACAGCCATGAAAAATTCTGTTCTTCCTACGAGTTTAATTACCTAGGAAACAGAGAAAATACATAAAATAAACTAAGTGAAAAAGCAGTTTATAAAACTCTCTCTATATAAATACACAGACATAAGCTGGGCTTGGTGGCTGAGGCCTATATTCCCAGAGTCTTGGGCGGCTGAGGCAGAAGGATTGCTTGAGCCCAGGAGTTTGAGACCAGCCTGGGCAACATAGCAAAACCCCATTTCTACAAAAAATAAAAAAATAAAAAAAATTTAAAAAAAATAAAAATTTAAAGAAATTACCCAGGCTTTAATTAGCTGAGTGTGATGGTGTACCCAGTACAATTTGAGACCCTGCCTATAACTATATCTATATATAAATTTATATGGATAGATAACTTGTTTTCTTTTTTTCTCGAAGACAGAGTCTCACTCTGTCACCCAGTCTGGAGTGTAGTGGTGCTATCTTAGCTCACTGCAACCTCTGCCTCCCAGGTTTAAGTGATTCTTCTGCCTCAGCCTCCCGGTTTAGCTAGGATTACAGGCGTGTTCCACCACACCCAGCCAATTTTTGTATTTTTAGTGGAGACGGGGTTTTGCCATGTTGGCCAGGCTGGTCTCGAACTCCTGGACTCAAATGATCTGCCTGTCTCAGCCTCCCAAAGTGCTGGGATTACAGGTGTGAGCCACTGCACCTGGCCAGGTATCTATCTATCTATCTGGATATATCTAGATCTAGATCTATATATCCTTATATAAAAAGACACATGGATGGGTCCCAATGCTATCTGAACAGTTTTTCTTTATGAATGTTCTTTACTGACACGTTGAAGGTCATCCCATCTCAGTTTTTTATTCTCACAATGAGATCTGATAAAGAAAGCCTCCCTCATACCATTTTGGCTGTGAGCCTGTCCCACAACCACCAGAGAGCCTCACGGCTCACATGCCTGAGATGTCTGTTCTATCCACACTATCACAATTATGGGCATTTGTATGAAAACAGGTTCTCCTGGACACCTGGACCACTCTCCCAGAAGCAGTCAAGGCCATGCCCTCAGATATCAAATCCTCTTCTGCAAGAGGACCAAAAGGCACCTGACACAATACCAGGCTGTGAGGCCAAGGTCAGAAATTACGAGTTCTATCTAGGCAATCAGGAAAAGACAGGAGGCCCAGTGCTTCCTGGTGACTCAAGGGTAAAAGACAAAAAATCCTTTCCATCTCCCTTAGATCACTGCTACAGTAAGGGTGTTTTATAATACACTGGGGCCCCTCTTTGTTCTTTTTACTTTCCTTGAAGAGTAGGGGTACGGCCTTAACAAATTCCAAAATCACCTTGGCTACCTAATAGGAGATTCTGCAAATGGAAACCTCACTGCCCCATCCCCTCCCTCTGGGTGCATCTAAAACAGGACAGTGGGAAACACATACCTCATGTTCACAGATTTTGATGACTACTTTCGCTATTTGCGTCAATTTGTGATTTCCTAAGGGAATAAGAAAACAGGATTAATTCTAATGGAAATGCTGCAACACCAGGCCTGAGGATTTTACTTGCACTAACAATGTGTTTACTTGCTTTTCCCCCAGGATTAAGCTTTTAAAGGCTAAAACCAGAGGTTCCTGGCTTCTAATAGTGATTCACATTATATGATTCTTCCCATCAATGTTGATGACTCTTTGGCGCCTCGATGTCATCTTCTCTGCAACTGAGCAATTTATGTGGGTTTCCCTAGAGATCATAGATTAATACTTTTCAAATGCTTTGACACTCTAAAGGCTCGAATTAATGAAAAAAGGCCTTAATCTACCCATTGTCCCAGACGCCAGTCCAAGAAGAATCCAAGAGAAAGAAGAAGAGACATTTTCTGGAATAGCTCTTGTGTGGCTAGTGCTTCAAAACACATTTTCTCCTTGGGCCAGATGTGGTGGCTCATGCCTGTAATCCCAACACCTTGGGAGGCCAAGGCAGAGAGATCACTTGAGCCCAGGAGTTGAAGACCAGCCTGGGCAACTTTTTAGCAAGACCCCATCTCTAGAAAAAAGCCACACACACACACACACACACACACACACACACACACACACAAACACACACATTTTCTTCTCAGCTCCTCAAGAAGCCATATTAGGAAGCAGGAATAAAATGTGCCCATTTAATGAATGAGTAAGCCAAGGTTCAGGAGTCATAATTTACATCACTTAGCTAAAAAAGTAACCATCTAGCCCCAGGTCTAACTCGACACTAAACCAGAGGACAAGATGGTCCAAAAGTCATGTCTTCTTTCAACGTTATGGTATTTTTAGAAGTTGTAAATTTGTTGACATCAAGATTTCACATACACAAACACACAATATACCTACATTTCTGGTTTGCCTTGAAAACTCAGAAGATCCGATAACTATAATCAATGGAGCACTGGAGCTGCCAACAGCAAACTTTCCAGTCCAGGTAGGAGTTCTCTGTTCTCCATGATCACAGCACATCACTTGACCTGCAGCCTTCTTGGCTTGTGCTGATGTTTTTGTTCTTCTACCTGACCTCATCCACTTGTTTATATAATCTGATAAGCTGGGCCTTTCTATATATTTGAGTCTATAATTTTTACACAAATTTTTTTTTTTTTTTTCTTGAGATGGAGTCTCGTTCTGTCACCCAGGTTGGAGTGCAGGGGCGCAGATCTCAGCTCACTGCAACATCTGCCTCCTGGGTTGAAGTGATTCTTGCGCCTCAGCCTCCAGAGTAGCTGGGATTATAGGCATGCACCACCACACTCAACTAATTTTGGTATTTTTAGTAGAGACAGGGTTTCACCATGTTGGCCAAGCTGGTCTTGAACCCGACTCAAGTGATCCGCCCGCCTCAGACTCCCAAAGTGCTGTGATTATAGGCGTGAGCCACTGCCCCTGGCCCACACATTCTTAATGCCTAGTGCCTCAACTTTTTCCCCTCCTTTCACTCTCAGCCCTGCTATAGTTAATAATGCAGTATGTGTGCGTAAAGCAGATATACATACATCTTTCCTTAAACACTAGCAAACAGGCTGGCATGGTCTCTCACACCTGTAATCCCAACACTTTGGGAGGCCAAGGCAGGCAAATCACTTGAGGTCAGGAGTTCGACACCAGCCTGGCCAACATGGCAAAACCCCATCTCTACTAAAAATACAAAAAATTAGCCAGGTGTGGTGGCACATGCCTGTAATCCCAGCTACTCAGGAGGCTGAGGAACGAGAATCACTTCAACCCAGGAGATGGAGGTTTCAGCGAGCCAAGATCACACCACGGCACTCCAGCCTGGGCGACTAAGTGAGACTCTGTCTCAAAATAAATAAATAAATAAATAATCCTCTTTTTGCAATGAACAAAATATCTGAATAGATGTTTACAAACAAAGACATACAAGTTACTAGTAAGCACAGGAAAAGACACTGATCATTAGGAAAAGGCAAACTAAAACCATCATGACATAATACTTTACACCTTCAAGAACAGGTAAAATTTAAAAGGCAGACAATATCAAGTGTTCGCCTTATATTGTGTGGAGCTAAAGAAAAATCTAATATACCCTGCTGGCAGAATGTAAAATGATAGAACCACTTTGCAAAAACAGTTTGGTGAAACGTACTAAGTTAAATAAAAACCTACTCCCTGAGATGGCAACACCACTCCTAGGTATTTACCCAAGAGAAAGAAAAACCTATGTCCATGCAAAGACTTGCACAAGCAGGTTCACAGCAGCTTATTCCTAACAGCCCAAAGCTGAAAACAACCCAAATATCCATCAGCATCAACTAGGTAAATGGATGAATGGCAGCATATTGATCGAATGAAAAGAAAAATCAGTCAGCAACAAAAAAAAAGGAACCACTAATAACACATAACACAGATGACTCCTCAAAATACTACACTGTATGACAGCAGCCAGACACACAAGAGCACTACCTTGGACTCCAATTATATGAAATTCTACGAGAAGCAAAGCTAATTGGTCCTAACAAAGCAGAACTGTTGAGAGTGGTTCCTGTTGAGAGTGGGTTTCCTAGAAAAGGGCATGTATGAGAATCCAACAGGCTGATAGGAATGTTCTGGATCTTGTGGTTACACATTTGTCAAATTCAATGAACGTAAACATAAAATCTGTGTTTTATTTTATGCAATTATACTTCCATTAAAACAAGGTTTGTAGAAACAACACTAAAAGGTAGCAGCACCATGCAGCCGCGAGCCACTTTAGATGTCAGCTCATACCTTAAAATGAATTTGGTCACTGCCTCCTATTCACACATATTAGCACAATCGATACACAAGTGTTCTCAGTATGAATTACGAGCCTGATTTTTGATGAAGGGCAGGAATTTGTGCAACACATATATACGGCATACTCTCTTTCTTAGGAGTCATCTAAGCCACTCACCCCCATTATAAATGATGCAGTTGTGCAAAATCCACTTTGCATCAGCCAGGAAGGCTTCTGTGCAGCCATACATTTTCTTTTTCGCATTCTGGGAAGAAAAGTGATAGAGCATAATCAGTGAGTCTAGACAAGCCACAGTCAGTGACTCTTGTGTCCCCACATAATTTTTGTAGCAGTCATTTGCCAAATCAATTAGTGTTCTCCCACTCATTTCCCAAGATGCTTCTTTTTAACCTACCACACACCGACTAAAGAATGCTTTTAACTTTTAGATCTATAACCCTATAAAAAGCACTCTTTGAATTTATCACAATAACTGGAATTTTCTCATAGTAGCTGTCATTTATCATGTAGCTTCTTCCAATAAACAGGGTAGTTTATTTATTTACTTTTTTTTTTTGGAGGTGGAGTTTTGCTCTTATCGCCCAGGCAGGAGTGCAGTGGCGCAATCTCGGCTCACTGCAACCTCCGCCTCCTGGGTTCAGGCAATTCCCTTGCCTCAGCCTCCCGAGTAGCTGGGATTAGAGGCATGTGCCACTATGCCCAGCTAATTTTAAGTAGAGACAGGGTTTCTCCACGTTGGTCAGGCTGGTCTTGAACTCCTGACCTCAGGTGATCCGCCCGCCTTGGCCTCCCAAACTGCTGGGATTACAGGCGTGAGCCACCGCGCCTGGCCAAACAGGACATTTCATATATTTATACATTATTTATTATTAGTCTTATGGTCTCACACAAACCTCACAATAATTTAATGAAGTATTTATTATCATACCCATTTTACAGAAAGGCAAACTGAGGTACAGTAATGTTAAGGAACGTTATCTAAAATTCCACAGCTCCTAACTTATAAAGTTAGGTTTCCAACTCCATCTCTTTTGAATGCCTCCTTTTTCCACCACACCATGAAGGTATGTGCAATTTCCTAAAAACAGACTGGATTTATGGTTTGGGAGTTATCAGGGAAGACAATATGAAGTAATGTTTCTTCCTCATGGATGCATTTCACTGCCCATATTTTGCTGCAAACAGTTTGAAAATCAGCATCAGTTTGATATGGACAATCTAAAGTGTTCCAAGTATAATTTTCAGCGTGGAATTTCAGCATGAACTTTTAAAACCTTCAGGCATTTAGCCGGGCGCGGTGGCTCAAGCCTGTAATCCCAGCATTTTGGGAGGCCGAGATGGGCGTATCACGAGGTCAGGAGATCAAGACCATCCTGGCGAACACGGTGAAACCCTGTCTCTACTCAAAAAAATACAAAAAACTAGCCAGGCGAGGTGGCGGGCGCCTGTAGTCCCAGCTACTCGGGAGGCTGAGGCAGGAGAATGGCGTAAACCCAGGAGGCGGAGCTTGCAGTGAGCTGAGATCTGGCCACTGCACTCCAGCCTGGGTGAAAAAAAAAAAAAAAAAAAAAAAAACCTTCAGGCATTCAAGAAATATCCTAATCAGTAGAATAAGTCAAATTCTAAGAAGCCACATCTTTATTGCTAATCTGGAGGCTTCCCAGACACTTAATTTTCTCTTCTTCCTTCCTGCTGCTCTCATTAGCACCTACGAAAGAAAGAGGAGGTAACGTTCAACTCAATCAAATCACTAACTCTTAGAAGCTACAGCTTTTGCAGGTAAAAAGCTAGAATCACTTGTGAAAGTATTAGCAAAGAATTTCAACATTCCACTGCAATCTTGGAAGAATGTTACAAAATAAAGACATCAGAGAATCAAAAGTTCTTCTATCCAAATAAAGGAGCAATGAAAATGCAGAGAAACAATTTAAGATTGTTATGTCCAACTTGAGATAGAGCATGGGCAATGAGGGAAGAGCCTTAGGCGTCTCAGCTGTGGGCTACAATGGTGAGGCTCTTTGATGGAGGCCAACCTTTTCCAATGTACAAAGGTCCATTGGATGGAAGATGTATTCCGCATAGTCAGGGTGCTGTTCCAATGGAACGGGCTTCTGGAATGCATCTGTCTACAAAAGAGAAGATATGCACACCCATCATTACTATGGAGAACTAAGCATTAATGCTAACAAACGGCTTGAAAAACGGAGACAACTTTTCAGATAATAAAGTTCTGAAGGTTGCCATAAAGGATGACCTTGGGGAGCTCCAAATTGTCTACCTTCTAATTCTGCCTGGTTATTGATAATTATGAGCCCAACTGTGATCCAATTTTATTCTTGGTTTTCAATACACACTCAAGAAACAGATCCTGTCTTCTTACATTAAGATTGACAATTACAATATGCACTGTAAGTTAAAAAGATGCTTTAACGAAATCAGCAACTTTCTCCTGACTGATTTGACATTCAACGATTTATTTGAGAAATTAATGCCTTCTTCAATTTTTCTTCTTGGTCTTTAATTCTATGGATTGACAAGTCTACATGACTCATTCTTTTTGTAAACAGTCATTAGCACATATAATTTAGCCTATGAAAAATCGAAAGTAATTCCTTGCCACACTCAACATAAAAATTATACCATAGCAAAAAAAAAAAAAAAAGTGTGCAAACCAAACTAAGCAAACTAGTGCTTCCACTGATTGAGATTGTATTTAAAAGAGCCTAATTTGTTAAAGGTTCTCAATTGAAGGGTATCCAATTGGCATGCTCTAAATTTTTTTTATCATCTCATCAAAATTTCAGAATATAATCTCAAAGCAAAAGCTTCTTTTTTATTAAAGAAATAAAACCACAGTGATTAGCCCCAAGAATCTAAATTTAGCCCCAAGAATCTACACTTCTGTACAGTAATGGATTTAGACAGCAAACTCTCAGGAGTTCTACAAAGGGTCACCACTAGCCCCTATGGTGCCTTTGTGCAAATCAGGTACAGGGCGCCACATCCGCAAGTTTCTCTAGATTCGTCTGTAGGGGCCAGGCGCAGTGACTCACGCCTGTGATCCCAGCACTTTGGGAGGCTGAGGCAGGAGGATCATTTAAGGCCAGAAGTTTAAGACTAGCCTGGCAACATAGCAAGACCCTGTCATTACAAAAAACCAATAATAAAAAAGTTAGCTGGGTGTGGCGGTGTGTGCATCTATAGTTCCAGCTACTTGAGAGGCTGAGGTGGGAGCACTGCCTGAGCCCAGGAGGTTGATGCTGCAGTAAGCTATGATTGCGCTCCAGCCTAGGCAACAAAGCAACAGTCTGCCTCCAAAAAAAGAAAAGAAGGAAGAAGGGAGGGAGGGAGGGAGGGAGGGAGGAGGGAAAATATTCATCTATAGAAAAAATGTCATAATATGCTTATTATATTGTCAAAATAATATTATTTTCAAAAACAAGTTATTTTTCTGCCATTTTCCTGAAAAGTATTATGATACATATACAAACCACAGTGGCTATGGTATGACCTGGGATTCAAAACAGGTAGGGCACCTATGTGAGGTACACAACTGGCCAGCCCTGCCCCACATGCAGATTTTCCTCAAGGGGCAAAGGCTGTATATCAAATCCCATCTCAAAATTGAAGGAACTAACCAAAATTTCACCCTCTATGGAAAAGTCACTGATTGAGTTTTCCTTGAAAGTTGCATCATCAGATCTGGGACATAAATAAACTGTGTTGTGCTCAGCTTCCTCACTGAAATGGATTTTCCTAACTCCCATGGGAAGGAGCACAAAGCTCCCCTTGCTGGGTGCTGTATGAGGTTTCACTTTGCAACCAATCAGAATTTTCAATCCCCCTCAATGTTTTACTATGTCATTGCCCAAATGATACGGTTTGGTTCTGTGTCCCCACCCAACCTCATCTCGAATTTTAATCCCTACATGTCAAGGGAGGAACCTGGTGGGAGGTGACTGGATCATGGGGGTGGTTTCTCCCATTCTGTTCTCATGATAGTGAGTGAGTTCTCACAAGATCTTGTAGTTTAAAAGTGTCTGGCACTTCCCACCCCACTTCTCTTGCTGCCATGTAAGATGTGCCTTGCTTCCCCTTCACCTTCCACCATCACTGTAAGTTTCCTGAGGCCTCCCTAACCATGCAGAACTGTGAGTCAAATAAACCTCTTTTCTGGCCAGGCGCAGGGGCTCATGCCTGTAATCCCAGCACTTTGGGAGGCTGAGGCTGGAGGATCTCTTGAGGTCAGGAGTTTGAGACCAGCCTGGCCAACATGATAATACCCCGTTTCTACTAAAAATACAAAAAAAAATTAGCCCATGTGGTGGCGGGAGCCTGTAATCCCAGCTCCTGGGGAGGCAGAGGCATGAGAATCACTTGAACCTGGGAAGTGGAGGTTGCAGTGAGCCGAGATCAATCACACCACTGCACTCCAGCCTGGGTGACAGAGCAAGTCTCTGTGTCAAAAACAACAAAAGAAAACAAAAAACCTTTTTTCTTCATAAATTACTCAGTCTCAGGTAATATCTTTACAATAGTGTGGAAAGAGACTAATGTACCAATTAAACTCCTTTGAGACATACAGTGCTTACCACTACAGAGAATTAACTGAATGGCATCATACCTCATGTGTGATTTACACATACTTGAATTTGGGGACACAAGGAGGCCCAAAGAATATGTCAGGTGCCTAAAAAGCTAAGCTATTAACAGAACAAAACATATGTCATTACATTCATTTACGCTTATACCAAGAGGAACTTTCTTCTTACCCCTGGCTGTTTCATTTTCTGAATGGCAAACTTGAGCAGGTAGGATAACTGTTCAATGGTGAGCATTGTCATGGCTTTACTCTGGGTCTCGATGCATTCTGCTACTGTAATTTTCTACAAGTCAAAGTCATACACAAATGTCCGGTTAGAAAAAAGAAATTACCATCCATGTACTGATTTCTATTTTTTCAGCCAACTCACAGACAAAAAGCAATTCTCATCCAAATGAGACTTCTTGTTTCACTTAGCAAAGACTCCTGGAACAAAATGTAACAGATCTACTGGAACAAAATGTACCATATCAGTGGGTAACTATTAAAAAACCTATCAATCTATTTCCTTATCAGGAAGCATTTTTAGCTCAGGAAGATGACATGATCTGAGAAAAGATGTGGGGTAGACAGGGGCCTGAAAAATCATCATTATTATAACCTTTAGGTTTCAAGAATGGGATATGAAAGGAAAGGCCAGGTGGGCATGGTGGCTCACACCTGTAATCCCAGCACTTGGGGAGGCTGAGGTGGGTGGATTGCTGGAGCCCAGGTGTTGGAGACCAGCCTGGCAACATGGTGAAACTCCATCTCTACAAAAAGTACAAAAATTAGCTAGGCATGGTGGCACGCGTCCATAGTCCCAACTACTTGGGATGCTGAGATGGGAGGACGGCTTGAGCCTGGGAGGCAGAGGCTGCAGTGAGCCATGATTGCACCACTGTATTCCAGCCTGGGTGACAGAGTGAGATCCTGTCTCAAAAATATATATGCGTAAAAAAAGAAAGTAAAGGCCATGGATGATTTCAGGGCGATTACTTCACAGGATTAACACTTATCAACCATTTATCCTGATCCTCTTAAGGTTCTGGGCTGTCATTCAGGAAACTGACAAGGTATTAATTCAATGACATCACTGATGGAAAGGGACAGACTTCCCTGCGGAAAGATTACAAGGGAAAGCAGTGGACTAATAATATATATGACTTCATTGTCCATCTCCCTTACTTTGAACCCACCTAAGGCGCTGTGTCAAACTACAAAAGAAGCACAACCTAACCTAACTGTCTATCTCCATGGGCAATAGATATCAGCTCATAAGGGAAACTCCCATCAAAGAAGAGACCTAGAGGAACGTCTGAAACCAGATTCTGCTATGTAAATCTGGTACTATATCTTAAGGCTTCAGAATCCTTATGTAGCAGCAACAACAAAAATAGCAAATTCTGATCATGTCAGGAAACACTCTTTAACCATCTGTGTAGGGAGAGCTGAGAAAAGTTTTCTCCAATTAATTTGGATTCAGTTTCCATTTTTCACATCTCTGGGGCCTCCAAAAGGAACTCTCAGATGTGTCTCGTTGGTTGTCGAGGAAAAGGCCAACACAAGAGTCACTCAGAAGCTGAAAACAGTGCATGACGCACGCATCTATTTGCTTAGCTACCACAGCCTGCAACATTCAGTCTTCCCAGTTGACTGCCATAACAACTCTTCCCTGGAAGAAATTCAGGGCCCTGAATCTCACACACAGAGCACCTGTTTGTTTGAATCTGGTTTGTTTCCAGGTAACCTATCCATGGCAAACACTTGGGCTGCCTGCCGAACTATCACTCATTCCCTCTCACCCCGCACTCCTTCTTCCTGGCTGGCAGTGCCTGGTTCCCACAACACAAAAAGCACCACATAAGCAATTTTCAAGGCTTTTTTGTACAAGGACTCGTGATGCAATACTGACCAATGAGCCCAGGGGCAAATCAGCTGGGGGATGATGGACAAATCTTTCTGCTGGATAAAAAGAGATGTAAGGAGAGACAGCCTCCTTTTGGGAGAATTTCTGTCTATCCACACATAATACCTGAACCCCAGCAGCCAACTTATGGCTTGGAGAACATGTCACCTCAACAATGAGATGGAAAGCGTCTGGCTCTAAATAAACTCTGGCCTGGCCCTGCCTCTGGGTTCTGATGATAATAAATCCATATTGTTTCAGCCCCCTTCCTTCAGGAACTAGTGCTTGCATTAATAACTATTTTTTGTTGGCAGGGCACAGTGGCTCACACCTGTAATCCCAACAATTTGGGAGGTCGAGGTGGGAAGATCGCTTAAGCCTAGGAGTTCAAGACCAGCCTAGGTAACATAGCAAGACTCTGTCTCTACAAAAGACTTAGTAAGTAGCTAGCTGTGGTGGTGTGTACCTATGGTCCCAGGTACTCGGGAGGCTCAGGTGGGAGGATCACTTGAGCCCAGGTGGTCAGGGCTGCAGTGAGCATGATCTAATTATTGCACTCCAGCCTGGGCAACAGAACAAGACCGTGTCTCAAATAAGAATAAAAGAACTATTATTTGCAGCAAAAGCATCCTATCAGAGCTGTTGTCATCTTTGCAATATCATTAAACAACTGGAAAAAGCTGGCCAAGACCAAAGAAAATCGGTGAAGGTTCCAGGTCCCATGACAATGTAGTAGAATGGAGTCAGCCTCTGAGTGCAGAGGACAACGCCGCTGTATGATGCAAACCCTACATATTTCTCCATCTAGAGTAACCCAAAGAGAACAGCAGCCACCTTTTGCCATATTAGAGAGGACACCATTACAGCATCATCGTCATCATATTGATTTGATGTCAACTTTTTTTTTTGTATATTTCTTATTTTTCTCCTCTCCCTACACAAAAGCATGACAGACACTGTCCTATAGCTTGCTTTTTTCCCTACTAAAGGCATCTGGATGATCTTTCCATTTCACACATAGAAAGCTTCCTCATGGCCGGGCGCAGTGGCTCAAGCCTGTAATCCCAGCACTTTGGGAGGCCAAGACGGGCGGATCACGAGGTCAGGAGATCGAGACCATCCTAGTGACTAACACGGTGAAACCCCGTCTCTACTAAAAAATACAAAAAACTAGCCGGGCGAGGTGGCGGGCGCCTGTAGTCCCAGCTACTCGGGAGGCTGAGGCAGGAGAAAGGCGTAAACCCGGGAGGCGGAGCTTGCAGTGAGCTGAGATCTGGCCACTGCACTCCAGCCTGGGCGACAGAGCGAGACTCCGTCTCAAAAAAAAAAAAAAGAAAGCTTCCTCATTTGAGATCAATCTCCAATGTACCTTTTTTTTTTTCTTTTTTTTGAGACACGGTCTTGCTTTATTGCCCAGGCTAGAATGCAGTGGCATGATTACAGCTCACTGCAGTCTCAACCATCTGGGCTCAAGTGATCCTCCAAGTTCACCCTCCCAAGTAGCCAGGACTACAGACACATACCACCATGCCTGGCTAATTTTTTAAAACTTTCTGTAGAGACGGGGGTCTCCCTATGTTGCCCACACAGGTCTTCAACTCCTGGGATCAAGCAATCCTCCTGCCTCGGCCTCCCAAAGTGCTGGGATTACAGTCATGAGCCACCACACTCAGCCTCCGATGCATCTTTGAATCCAAGAGACATTCCACATTAAATAATTGTGGAGACGACATTTTTATTTTCAGCAATTCAAAACAAACATCAGAGTTAGGGGTCTCCAAGAACAGGAGCCACCTCAGAACGGTGGAAACCCTAATAGTTGGCTTAATAAAGGGTGCCTGGGCTTTGCTACATAGGAGGCGTACACACTGCCCGACTACACCCATGCACTGCTGCCTCCGGCCGTCTGCCTAGAAGGTGTCCCCCAAATGGTTGCATGGCTCACTCCTCTCCTTCATCAAGTCTTTCTCAAACTTTAATGAGACTTTCCCAAACTACCACATTCAAAATGAAAACACTTCCCACCCCTTTGGACTTCCTATTCCCATCCTGAATTTGTTTTCTTCACAGCACTTTTCTTTTAACTCATTATATGAAACATTATTTATTTTGATTTTTGTCCTTTTCTGCTGGGGGAAAAAAAAAAAAGATTCATGCCTGTTTTTGTGCACTGTCGAATCCCCAGCACCTAACAGGCACTCAAGAAATACTTGTTGCACAAAAGAAAGCATCAGACGGCCACCACAGGGAACATGCAACCAAACGTGGTCTTCTCAGCTTAGTTACTGCTGATGATTCGATGATGAGGCAGGCAACAACATCCAAGATAGAGAAGAACAGCACGAGATCTTTTCAAAATGTGTGAGCCATTCATGATTTAGGAGTTAACGTTCAAAAAGTTCATCATAGAAGATGCAGAGATGATGACTACAGATCTCCAAGGAATCCAAGGACTCATGAGAAACCAGAAATAATATTCCGTGCAATTGTCTTTCCAAGAGCTGCAGTACTGCAGCCACTGCCGGTGGTGGTTGAGAAGCGGGTGACCCGGATAGAACAGGTGGAAAGCAAGAAATTTCTCTTTTCCATCTATCTGGATTATTTGTAAATTTAAAAATAAAAGGAAGAAAGAGAAAGGAGAGGAAACGAGGCAGGTAATGCATTCATTCATCAGGAACTAACCTCACATTCAGGACAAAACCAGTCCCCCTCTGGTTCCGATGTCAGTCTCAGACACTTAGCGTGATAAACCCGGGGACAGAGCTCACAGCAAAGGACTTGGCCTTCCCGGTGACAAACCCAGCAGTAGAAATCATTTCGTCCATCCTGCGGTACAACATCAACAGGGTCTGTGGTGAGTGGCTGCTTCATATAGTAAAACGGACCATGTCTTAGTTCTGACTGAAATGTAGGCAAGAAAGACAGGTTTGGTTTCAAAACAAATGTGCATTCTCAAAAGGAATTTGAACAAGTACATCAATAACAACAAAAGAAAATTACAGTATTTCACAAATTCATTAAAAAGCCAAACTATCTTAGGTTACTAAATACTGCATTAGCAAGCTGTTAAAATTATGAAGATTTTTCTTTTCTCTATTTTAAGAGGCCACGATTAAAAGCTGGTATCTAAGAGTTACAAGGCAGCCCTAGCAGAAAGGCACACTGCCTACAACCCAGACCTACCTAGGTTCAGATTTTAACTCTACCATTAACCAGGTGCATGACCTTGGACAAGTCTCTTAACCTCTCAGCTTCAATTTTCTCATCTGTAAAATGGAGATGATAATACCTAACACTTCATGGTACTGTGTTGCTATTAAATGGGGTGATATAATCTATGCCTACTGATCAAAATGCCACCATACTAACAGTGCTAACGTGGTTGGATGCCCAGCTTACGGAAGTCCCAGTTTACAAAGCCAATAAAAGCGCAGTAGTTTGCCCTGGGATTCTTTAAATGGCAGACATTTAGAGAACAGATCAATAGGGTTTGAGTCACCAAAAACTGGTTATCTTTTTTTTTTTCTTTCTTCAGAGACGGAGTCCCGCTCTGTCGCCCAGGCTGGAGTGCAGTGGAGTGATCTCAGCTCACTGCAACCTCCACCTCCCGGATTCAAGCCATTCTCCTGTCTCAGCCTCCCGAGTAGCTGGGACTACAGGTGTGTGCTACCACGCCCGGCTAATTTTCATAATTTTAGTAGAGATGGGGTTTCACCATCTTAGCCAGGCTGGTCTCCATCTCCTGACCTCATGATCCGCCCGCCTCAGCCTCCCAAAGTGCTGGGATCACAGGCGTGAGTCACTGCACCCGGCCAGTTATCTAATTTTTAAGTTTACCCCCAATACATAAAGTGTTTATGAGCCAACAAGAGGCTTCCTAAAGCCATAACTCTTCAACATGGTAGGTCCTTGTTTTTGCCAGGGAGCCATATCTCTTATTTGACATCAGCAATGGCAGAAAGATGAGATGGGTGGCCAACTCATGGGAGCTCGACCTCTTCCTGGTATATTATGGTATATTATGGAATATTATGTTATATTATGGAATCCAGCAAAGCCACACTTGAACACAAAAAGTCACTCAGGAGAAACTCATAAGAAAATGTCTATCAGAAACGAATATGAAATCCTATTTAGGAAGTACATGTGTAAGTCCAGTGGGAAGGGTCAAAACGACATGGTAACTAGTTGTGTGGTCTTAGGAAAGCGACTCAACCCACTTTGAGCCTCAATTCCCTGGCAATAAAACCATGGAGAACAGTTTAGCCACAACCATATTCCCCACCCTCGAATAACTCTCACTGTATAACACGTTTCTTTTCTGTCCTTCAGTAAAACATGATGGTGTCCTCCATAAACATCTTCTATGTTGTTGAGATACTGCATACTTTTTGATGATACTACGAATGGGGATTTACTAAACGGTTATCATTGATACATAGAAAGGTTGTCAGATTTCTAATACCGACCTCATATATAGACAGTTCCAATAGTTTATTGACTGAAAATCATATAACTCTAAGTAACACCAGTTTTGTCTTTTCCTGTCTAAAACTTGAACGTTACTTTTTTTTTTTTTTTTCCGTCTAAAACTTGAACGCATTTTTTTTTTTTGAGACAGAGTCTCGCTCTGTCGCCCAGGCTGGAGTGGTGTGCGACCTGTCTACTGCAAGTCACCTCCCGGGTTCACACCATTCTGCCTCAGCCTCTCGAGTAGCTGGGACTACAGGCGCCCGCCACCTCGCCCAGCTAGCTGTTGCATTTTTAGTAGAGACAGGGTTTCACCGTGTTAACAGATGGTCTCGATCTCCGACCTCGCATCCGCCTGCCTCGGCCTCCCAAAGTGCTGGGATTACAGGCTTGAGCCACCGCACCCGGCCCTTTTTTTTTTGAGATGGTGTTTCGCTCTTGTTGCCCAGGTTGGAGTGCAATGGCGCAATCTCGGCTCACTGCAACCTCTGCCTCCCAGGTTCAAGTGATTCTCCTGCCTCAGCCTCCTGAGTAGCTGGGATAACAGGCACCCACCATCACGCCCAGGTAATTTTTTATATTTTTAGTAGAGACGGGGTTTCACCAGGTTGGCCAGGATGGTCTCCAACTCCTGGCCTCAGGTGATCTGCCCACCTCTACCTCCCAGAGTGCTGGGATTATAGGCGTTAGCCGCTGCTCCCGATCGCATAATTCTTTAGCCCAGTTATTTCCCTGTGTCATATCAACTTTTAAGATAGAGCTCTACTTGGTTTCCAGGGAATACCAATATCACTGCTACAATATTTTTTCATGTTACATTTTCAGCATGCTGTTGCACACCATCTTCATTTTATCCTGACAATCACCCAAAAAGGTACTAAGAGCACTCCCTAATGAGAAAATCAGAAATGAAAAATGCTCCAAAATCCTTAAGTTTTTGAGCACTAACATGAAGCCACAAGTGGAAAATTCCACATCGACCTCTTGTGATGAGTCACATATATTATTTAAAATATTGTATAAATTTACCTTCAGGCTGTATGTGTAAGGTATGTGATATGGTTTGGCTGCATCCCCACCCAAATCTTATCTTGAATTGTAATTCCCATAATCCCCACATGTCATGGGAGGGACCCGGTGGGAGGTAAATAAATGAATCATGGAAGTGGTTACCTCCATGATGTTCGGGTGATAGTTCTCACAGGATCTGATGGTTTTATAAGGAGCTTTTCCCCCTCTTCTCTCTGCATTTATCCTTGAAGCAGCCATGTGAAGGACGTGTTTGCTTCCCTTCCCCACCTTGATTTTAAGTTTCCTGAGGCCTCCCCAGCCATGCTGAACTGTGAATCAAACTGCCTTCCTTTATACACATTACCCAGTCTCGGGTATTTCTTTATTAGCAGCATCAGAACAAACAAACTAATATAGTATGTAAGAAACATAAATGAATTTTAAGTTTAGACCAGGCACAGTGGCTCACGCCTGTAACATCAGCACTTTGGGAGGCCGAGACGGGTGGATCACCTGAGGTCAGGAGTTCCAGAACAGCCTAGGCAACATGGTGAAACTCTATCTATACAAAAAATATAAAAATTAATGCACAAACCTGTGCATTAAGGCATGGTGGCACATGCCTGTAATCCCAGCTACTCAGGAGGCTGAGGCAGGAGAATCGCTTCAACCCAGGAGGCAGAGGTTGCAGTGAGTCAAGATTATGCCACTGCGCTCCAGCCTGGGTGACACGGCGAGACATCATCATCTCAAAAAAATATATATCTACGTGTTTAGGCTTGGGTCCCATCTTGAGATATCTCACTATGTATATGCAAATATTCCAAATTAAAAAATAAACAAATAAAAAGTAAAAAACACTTCTGGTCCCAAGCATGAATAAGGGATACCCATCCCGTACTAGTCTTACTTGACATGTAGAAAAACTTGGTTACTTGGTTAAAGAGATTTATCTGACCTTGGAGCCCAGAGCAAAGACTCAAACCCGGGTCTCCCAACACACCCTCTCTTCCCTATAGCCCTCACAAGACAATGCTGAATCCAGGAGAGCCTGCGTTGACTTAGAGACCCCCTCAGAGAACATTATCTGTAATGCAAACTAAGTTCAGCTTAATGCACAAACCTAGAGGGAAAAAACATCTGAAGTATAAGATGACTACTAAAAACCTGACAGAAGGGGACATGAACAGCATCCAGAGCACGGGCTCTCAACCTCGGTACTGGTGACACTGGACGCCAGAAAAGTCTTTGTTGTGGGAGACGTCCTGTGCATTGCAGGGCAGGTAGCATACCTGGCTAGATTCCAGTAACACTCTAACACTGTCACACACATAAAATTAGGACAACCAAAAATGTCTCCAGACTTTGACCAATGTCCCTTGGAGGGCAAAACTGTCCCTAGTTGAGAACCACTAATGTAGAGGGTCTGCTATCTGCCTAGGAAAATGGTTGCTTTGAATTTATTGTAGGGGTATGCGGGTGCTGAAGAGGAGATGGGGGAGGAGCAGCAGGAAGGGGAAGAGAGGGCGGGGAATTCCTGTTGAAAGATAAACTATACATACCAAGCGCGCAGAACTATTTCCCTTTTTTCTTTCTTTTTTTTTTTTTCTTTTTTTCAGAACTATTTCTAACCTCAGTGGGGTCTTCAAGGATGCTACTGTGGTTTTTGTAAGGTAACACTAAGCCATATTTTCAGTATCTGACTTCTTTTCAGTAAGTTAATAACAGGATAGGAAGAGTTGTTAAGAAGCTAGAAGAATCGGCCAGGCGCGGTGGCTCACGCCTGTAATCCCAGCACTTTGGGAAGCCATGGCAGGTGGATCACCTGAGGTCAGGAGCTCGAGACCAGCCTGGCGAACATGGTGAAACCCCATTTCTACTAAAACTACAGGTGGGCGCCTGTGGTCCCAGCTACTCAGGAGGCTGAGGCAGGAAGAAGTGCTTGAACCCGGGAGGCAGAGGTTGTGGTGAGCCAAGATTGCACCATCGCACTCCAGCCTGGGCAACAGAGCGAGACTCTGTCACAAAAAAAGAGAAGCTGGAAGAATCAAGTATGACTGCTCATCTCCCTAACCAGCAACTCAAGTCCTCTCTGTCTGATATTAGCCGAGGTACTGATCCTTCAGAATTAAGTTTCTCCTGGTGCTCCCCTCCCAACCCCACTACCCTCTGGCTGGGGCTGGGTGTCCCTAGGAGGATCCTGAGGACAGCCTGGCTGCTCCATACTCTTTTCAGAAGATTTTCTCCTTTCCTGAAGCAGCAGCAGTTGCTGAGAGCTAGATGCCTGGTTAATCTCCTTATCAATCAGATATTTTCCTTATCTGCTGCTTGTAAGTGTTTCCTGTTCCATAAAAATAATCTGATAACAAATATGGAACATTTTAAAAAGGGAAAACAAATCATTTCTGAGTTATTATTTT